GTGGGCCACTGTTGTCCTCACAGCAGTTTGCCAGAGCAGGATGTGGGGTTGAGCGGTGGAGAAGGACAGGGCCTGGGGCTCCCACGCTGCCCGCTGCCTCGGACCCAGGCAGCCCCAAGTCGCCCAGGTGCTGGGAGCAGCACCGGGTGCCCTGCAGGCTGGGCCTGTCCTGACACCTGGTGCCCACAGGGGAACCTCGAGGATAGAGCTGCGATTCTTCCTTCTGCTGGTGCCTGAGGCCTCAGGAAAGTTCGTCCTGGTGCCAGCATCTGTGCTTGAATGCATCTGCCGTGTCCTCCAGAGACCCCTTCTCTGTGCCTCTGGGGTCTTCTCAGTTTCGGATGTGCCCCCCAGACTGCAGCGTCAGCACATGTGGGAGTGGAATGACAAGTGCTTCTGCCCAGCTTTCTCAGAGCTGTGGCTGGATATTGGCGTAGACAAACCACTCCCCATGGTGACACGGAGCAAGATGGCCTTGGGTTTGTTCTGAGCAGGGAGTCAAGTTTCAAAAGGACCCCGTCCATGTGCCCCGAAGCTTCCACGTGGAGTGCAGGGAGGCCCCTGTTGGTGAGGCCCAACAAGTCACGCTGCTATGGGAGCTGCCCATGTGGCATAGGTGCCCTGTGGGCAGGGCAGGCTGAGGGGGTGCTATCTCTGGACCATTTATTCTGTGGTTCCTGGGGGTTCACTCCATGGTTCCTGGAGATTACTCTGGTTCCTGGTGGTTTATTCTGTGGTTTCTGGGGGTTTACTCCATGGTTCCTGGGGGTTTACTCTGTGGTTCCTGGGGGTTTGCTCAGCAGTTCCTGGGGGTTTACTGTGAGTATCACATGGCTGCTCATTTTCAGTGAAGGGCAGATTGGACTCCGGGCAAGGCACGGGGCCAGGGACTGTCAGCAGACTTGAGAGAATGTTCTCAGAGACCCCCTTGATCCCCACAGTTGGGAAAATGCATAGATTCAGGCTGTTCATTCAAGAGTTGCTAATTTAAATGCTAATTGCCTCTGAAACACACCTTCACTGAGATGTTGGACAGCAGTTTGAGCACACATCTGATCAGCTGACTAAAAATAATTCTTAGGGCCAGACTCAGTGGTGCATACCTATAATCCCAACACCAAGGGAGGCTGAAGTAGAAGGATCATGAGTTTGAGTCCTCCTAGACAACTTAGTGATTAACAAAACACTGTTTCAAAAAAAAGTCAGCCATCATACTTTTCTGGAAATGTTGATGGTCTTGGACTGAGTGGGTTGAGGATATCTGAGGAGGGCTTGGGCGACTCTCCTTCCCTAGGGGACCTGCCCAGGGGCTTTGGAAGCAGAGTTCATGTGGACGAGGCACCACAGGACCTGGTACAGTGGGTGGGCTGGTGGGCACTGGCGTGTGTCCTGAACATTGGCTGGGCCAGGCCCCGCTGACCGGGCCTGTCCTCTCTGTTTACTTGCAGCTCTCCTCTGACCTCTCCCTGCCCGAGGATGCCCGGCCTCTCCCCCAGTGCCGCTCCAGCCTTGGGTGCCACCCCAGCGCCCCAGCTCTCTGTGCTCCAGCCTGCTTCCTCCCAGGGGAAAAGCCGCCCCCCTATGCCCCCTGACGTGGAGGCATTAGAGTGAAAAACACTTTTTGTTTATTTGTTCGTGTTAAAGCTGCCTCTAGAGCTCTAGCTTCTGCAGCCAACCTCCTAGAGAACCTTGACAATGTTCTGGAAGGCTGTGCCTGCCCTCCCTCTGGGGCAAGTCCTCGTCCAGGCCAGGCCAGGACAGAGCAGAGGGGAGCAGGGCCTCCCCATCTGGAAGGGGCTGCCTGGCATTTGTTGATTTGTTAGATCCCTTCCTGTTAGTAGACTGGCTGTTGCCCTGTGCCTGCCTGCCTGCCTCCTTACCGGAAGTGTGCATGTGTGTCCCCAAGAAGGCCACTCCCACCCTGCCCCTTACATCCTTCTGACTTTTGCTTGGAGTGAAGACAAGCTTTGGTCAAATATCCAGTGCTGCTCCAAAAGGCCAGGAGCTGCCTGAGGTCTGTGTCCTGTCTGCTCAACTCATATAGACCAGCTGTCCACTGTCCGGGCTACTTTCCACCTGACTGCTGCCCTTATTAAGCCCTGTGGTCCTCTGAGCGATCCCAGATGAGTCTGCCCACCTGGCCCCTGCAGCAGAGCCTGCCATGGAGGTTGGATGTGCTCTGAAGGGCTGGGGGGCGGGGTTCCCAGGGCCTTCAGCTGAGGGCCAGGGCATAAAAGGAGGCCTTGAACATGCACCTCTTCCAGATGCACCAGGGAATGGGTGAGCACTCCTGGAACCAGCCAGAGACTGAGTTGGTGGACCAGAGTCGTAGAGGGAGCTGGGGGGCCCAGAATGCACCCCAAGTGTGCACTTTGGTGTCAAGGGATCTGGGGATGTATCTGTTGTCGAAAGTTCTTTTGAGCTGAAGTTTCTTGGGGGCCATCAGTGGCAGATGGAGCTGTATCCACTCAAAGAAAGAGCCTCAGGAACCTGGGCTCAGTGCCTCCCAGCATCTCCACCAGAAGAGGGGCTCTTCCTGAGGGGCAGTGCCACCCAGACACCCTGACCACCACATCCCTCTGCCTTCCAAAGGCCTCACCCTGCCCCAAAGCCATTCATGCTCTGGCCCCTCCTCTGCGAACCTACACAAGATCCTCCAAGTCTCACAGAGCTCGAGTCTCACTGGGCCCAA